AAAAAACACAATAATTGTCAAACTTTTTAACTCTGTAAACTTCTGTTTCCTAAATCGTCAATTTGAAAATTTCTTTTTTCTTTCAAGGATTTTGTTTTTGGTGTGAATACAAAATGATGTTCCTCAGCAACAGCAGCATCAAACAGTATCATAGTTACTCTGTCCCTAGATCACATATGACTTTTGTTACCGACAGAGGAACTTTGATACCAATATATACAAGTGTATGTGTGTGTACAATTCATTATTTTGGTAAGTATACAATGTGACTGTTTGCAATGATTTTTTTTACTTTACTAAAACAGAAGCATTTTTATGAAACTTTTCTTATCAATAAATGAAAGGAAATTTTTGGTTTAAAATTGGAACAAAGACATTATTTTCATGCAAGATTTTTCACACAATCTGAATTTATCTGATTTGGATCACCATCATTGCAAACAATCAATATTTGACAGAAAAAACAAACAAACCAACACCTAATACTTCTTTGTTCAATCTTGTTTTTGTTTTCTTCCTTGTTAATAAATTGGTTTGTCTTTTTTTCCTGCAACAACCAATGTTCCACAAATTTGACAAAATTTCTGTAGAGATACTGTACAACTTTGTACCATACAAAAATCCAATACAATTTTCAAATTTGTGTGACATTTGTTTGAGCTCAGTTGCAGGTGACAAGGCTGATAATGACTCCATATCCTAACATCTTTGCCTAGTGTACAAGTATACACTATCACATATATATCAGAATAAGATCATACATTTATCAAATTAGGAATAAATTGTACAATATCCCTTTAATTATTACTGTTTGATTTCATTCATTAAAATGTATGATGTTAGCATATGAGCCAATTGAGAAAAGACTTGTCCGCTGCATTTAGTGAAGAGAAAGTCAACTTTACATAGTCTGACCCAACAAGTTGTTTTTATTTGTTTCCACAACCAAAGACATACTGGAGACAAGGCATTACTGTCAATGAGTCATCAACTCCTACTGCAGGATTAGGTGTTGACTCTTTTACTTCTTTATTGACTTTCTCTGGGACTGAGCGTGGAATATACAATTATCTGTGAACAGACCAGAGTTTTCCTCGCATGATAGTGATCACAAGCTTTCAATTAAATTTTTTAAGTATTAATTTGCAGACAAGTCCAAAAGCTGAAAGAATATATATGCAAACAAGAGTATAATGATATTGACAGTAATTCCTTTGCCAGAAATCAATTCATCATATAGTTATTTTCCTGAGGTCAAGGTGTGTTCAAAATGACAGCACAAGTGAAAACTTTGTAAGCCTCATTCACTACTGGACACTAAGAACCTAACAAGTCTCAAAGATATTGGTCAATATTTAATTTTTCAGTTAGCAGTCGAAGTCTAAGGACCAAACTGAACAACCTCAAACGACCATCAAATATACCAGTTTCTATGCATACAAGCCAAAAGAAGAATCTCAAACCGATAACAATCAATGTAACATGTAAGGCAATCAGTGTACAAGATTATCACATCAATTAGCCAATTACACATTTTTTATAAAGATATAAAATTGTAGGACAGCATTCAAATATTATTTTATATTTTTCATTTGAAACCAAAATTCATATTTTCTCATTGTGATCACCATCATGTTCAGTTGACAATGGTATAGTAGTAATATTGTATAAAACAATTTCAGTACTGTACATCCAAGTGCTAAAATTTTCTATCACATGATGAGATGTTCATGCATATTTTCTCAATAACTAAATCCAATTTAAACAAAAAAGATGTTTTAGTAATCATATTTCAAGGTATTTAGTATACATATTTCAAAGAATTAATCAATTACTAATTTTCAAGTGTTCACCTGTATTCAAACTGATCAACCAAACTAAGCAGTTCACTATTGCTGTACAATCATTATTATTATTTTTTTTAATTTCCATTGCTTATGCTTCTGTCAACAAATGTTAGAATACAGAGCCACATTCATTAATGAAATCAATTTCTTCTATTGCAAAACTATGAGAATTTAGCCACAAGAAAGTAAGAAATTTTACAGTAGCTGTAAAAAATATAATATAGTAATTCCCTTCTGATATTGATTTGCAAAAGTGATGATAACCAACAGATAAAGAATGTGATGTTGTTGTGTAACCCTATATGTTCATGATGTCAAATTCTTTTTCATTTAATTAGGTTGGATGTAATATCATATAGATTTAGATTTGTCCATAACAATTAAACCTGCTAATGCCAGAAAATTTCGGCAGATGGATCACATGACTGCTCTTGCATAAAAATCTTACCTTGATATCATCAGATCCTAACAAGTGATCATTAACATTTTAGTTGTTTAAACCCATTTTACTTAAATTGTCATTTGTCAAAGTTCTGAACATCTTTTATATGGGAATGTTATTACACCTCGATTTTTGATGGAAGGATTGCTTAACTGTAAACAAATTGAATTCACTAGTATACATACTATCAACATTTCAAATGATATGACCATGCTGTCAATATTTTTTCATCTCGATTTCATGATAGTAAATTTAGCTTGGATTTGTACAGTACTCAATATAAGGAATTGACATACTTCCAAAGTTTCTATCATTGTGACCAGTGACCATGGCAACAGTGAGAGAAACATAGAAATAAGTCACTTCCTATAACAGAGTTCAAAGGCTGTATAATAGTATTATTATAATCAAATCATAAATCAATAATCATGATTAAAAAGATCAAAAGAAATTTAACAACAAAATTGTATTATAACAAGTGGAATGTTTATTGAGCCCAATGAAAATCCAAAACCAGACCAAAGTCTGTACAACTTCTATTCAGTGCTATTTCTGTGAACTTCTCTTTTCTGGTCGTCTCAGAGACTCGTTAATCTTGGTAACAATTGTACTTTTCCATATCATATCAATAGCACAACCAGGATAGAACAATAGAACATATTTTCTAAGGTAGGACTTCCTTCTCTCATCTAATGCCTTTTTTCCCTTTACACCACCACCATAATAGGAGTAATTCAACCTTAGACTATCTGGCCCATACAGCTCTTTCCAAAGTCGCACACATAATCTCTTTGCAAAATTCCCTGGGCTTACAGAATTCAGTTTCATATCAAGAAGAGACAGCTTGTCAAATCTAAATTCTTCTGGTATGCCATCATAAAATCCAGGAGGAATTTCATTGTTCTCCTGACTGAAGAAAGGAGGAAAACTTGTGGTATTCACTGCCTGATATTTGTTGGCCTCTGTAATGAACCCAATAACAGTAGAATTACTACTAGTCCTCACTACCCAAGACCAGTCATCTTAAACTTCTCCGATCCTAACCTGTTATCAACGTGTTCTGTTAATCACAGAGGAATAACCAGAATTATCAGGACGTTTCTTTTTAGACAAGAACCATCTTCACATGTTGTAGCTCCTGAATCTATTCCAAGCACACAAATACACAGAAATATGCTACCAATACCATTTGATATTAAATAGTCACTTCTATTGGCAACTGGAATTAATAACTTTTACTGGACCCTGTGCACAGAACTACTTTTCTAGTTTCAACACTGAAAACAACACAAACTATGGACCCATTGTACACTTCACTAGTCTCAAAGTTGAAAACAAACACTGCCAACTGGGTTGTTCTTTCACCTGTCAAATTAACAGCTGTTTTACTTATCTATCCTTATGAAATGCATTTTTTCTGTCTGCATCCTATCGGGAAACAAACAAGAAAACAATGAAATTACGGATATCCTTCCAAGCAACATCCAATGCCAACAAGTTTATAACCTTGCACTGTTCCAAGACTTCAACCTCATTTTTACATTTTAATTGATGTTCAACTTCTCCAACCACACAATCTCTTGGCAATTTTTTTTTGCTTTCAGTGTTTTCTTTCAATGTATTTAACATAGCTTCATCATTTAACTCTGTACACCTCTTGGATGTCATCACAGTTTAATACATCATTATACTTTAGTCTGACATTTTTATCCAGCGACAATCTTTTTTGACCTTAGTGATTTTGTCGAAAGGAGATAATGTAACACTATAACTGGTAGGGTCAACAATGTAAGTTAATGACAGACTTATTTGATGCAAATTATGAAGTCGCAAGGACTGTTGATCGATCGCTTTTTTGAATCACATCAAAATCAAATCAAATATCAACTGCAAGAAAAAATTGCCAACAAGATTATTATATTAAACCACAATTAACCCACAGATTACCCAAAATATACATTCCACTTGCATAAATTCCTAAAAAATTTGCTTTTGAAACAGCCTTTGAACAATTTTCTGGGAAATACCAACACATTTTTCAACAAAGAAAACCAGAATAGTGTAAATTTGGCAAGATGGAGTATTTTTTTTTTTTAGATGATTTTGATAATAGACAAAGATGTTATTTGCATATGCCAGAATCAATTATCAATGAGCCTTGTGAATCACTCATAATAGCTTTTTATTATAAAAAGGTTTTATATCCACTGTTATGGCGTTTCTTCCTTTCAGAGGAACATTTTGGATATGGGAACTAAAATCACTAGATGAGGACAAAAATTAACTGGTGACCAAATGTATCAAATTTCAGATGCCATCACCATTTGTGTGAAATTGCTATATAAATTATTATGAAGTCATTTCATTTTGATGAAACCAATTTTCCTATCATTGTTTCAAACACAATTTTACATTTTGACTTTAAATGCATTTTTAAGTTCACAAAATGATTGTGAAATTTCAACATATCAATTCGACAGACTTATTTTTGATTGATATTAAACAACCTTATGTTTTTTTTTTACCTTTTTATGAAATAAAACATAATTTTGCATGAGAAAATGCAAAAATCAATAAAAAAAAATTGTTACCATTATTAAAGCAGTTGTTTCACTTGATTGTATAGGATGTTAACAACCAAAACGCTTCACTGGTTTTCATTCAATTGTAAAATGTATTGATATTTGAAAAGAAAAGAAGGTGACTCCTACCTTTGTAAGATCCCATGTACCAAGAGCTATTTGGATCTCCACTCATGTTAGCACCTTCATTTGACATTTCTTCTCGAGCCCATTCCTCAATTTCCGCATCACTTGGTTCTTCAAATTCTTCCTGATGCGATGCACCAGCTTGCATTTGCATTATACTTTGTTCAGCCATATCCACATGCATATCCAGTCCTCCAGTTTCTCCATCACCTAACGCTGCCTCTACCTTCACTATACTTAAATCAGGAGTAAGGTCGGCTGTACTTTCTTGCATGGAATCAGCAATTTCAATTTTTGTGCTGTGAAAGAACAGATTCACACATTATAAATACACACACATTTTTGTATTAAGAATCTTTTACCATAGTGTAATCGCAAATATCTACATGTTAATATTAGCCATTTACTTAAGGATATGACATTAGAATTTCCAAATTTTCCAAGATATTACAAAGACACAAAATAAACAATTATATATTTATATTACCTTTTTCCTTTGCCGTCATCACCACCTGGACCAACATCCATGGACAAGGAACTGGAATCTGGTACACTCATGGACATTGCAGGTTGTGGTGTTGGCCTAGGTCTACTTGGGGCAGGTGAACTTTGAGAAACGGAAATAGGAGAACTGGTCACCATTGCTTGCATGGCACTGCCTGCTGCAAATGGCTTTCCTTGACTAGCTGATGGAGTAATGGACACTGGGAATGGCGTTCGTTGAGGTGTACTAGTCATTTGACTGTCAGAGGTACGAGGCTGCTGCTGGTGCTGTTTTGATGATGAAAACACATTTTCTGAATCTTGTTTTTGTGAAAATCCTGAGAATGGTTGCTCTTGTCTAAATGATGTTTGTCTGTCTGTCGTAGAAGATGAGGCAAGACCTGGCAAGTCTCGTGAAGATGAAGATGAAGATGGTGATGATTGGGCATGTTGAGAATCCTGGAATACTGTAAGAGGACTGACTGTTATTGAACCTTGCTGAGGTGTGGATGACGAGCTAATTGGCCCTGGCGGTTGTGTTGCTGACGAGGGCTTTTCTGGAACAGTCACAATACTAAGATCAGGATCGGTGTTGTATTGACTAGCTATTGCAATGGATATTGATGATGATGTCTTCTGTGATGAACGAGATGATGATGGTTGTCCAGAATCTTTTTCTGGAGGCTCTGTCTGTACAAGTTCAATACTTTCTTCCACAATTTCTATCACACCGGGCTGGGAATTCTTCCCAGTAGCACCTTGACGACCCATGCCTGACCCCAGTTTGGGGACTCTATCCCAGGGATCTGGAGCTCCAGCCATGTAACTATGGGACATGCTTGCTGTATCATCAGCTTTGTCTGACCCTATCACAGTACCATCCGAGGGACTTGCCCCTCTATTTAACCTTGGTCGCTTACTTCCTGGACTTCCAGGCCGAGGAAAATCTGACATTCGTTTAGCCGCTCCATCATGAACAGTTTTCTGTAAGTCTGTGACACGAACATGACGGAATTCTATCAGATCATTAAAGTTGTATTTGTATTGAGTGCCAGGAAATGCAATACCCGTTTTGGCATGCATGCATTTGTAAAAGTCAGCAACACATTTAATAACACTGTCTACCTGTAAAAGTCTGGCTACTTTCTCAACGTCACGAACATTGTCTTCTGTTAACATCATGAAGCCTTCATATAGATACTGTAGGAATGTGTTGACGGATTCTTGTTTGATATCGGCTGCTAGACGAACTTCTAGATGTGAACCTGCCGCTGCATTTTCCATTGACTGAAGCATGGGACAAGCTGCCACCAACACAACTCGGTGGGCCTAATGGGAAAAAAGTTCACACAAACATAGCAGTTGGATAACAATTGGATGAAAGATTATAGTGATGTGGTCATTCAATTATCAGTTTTACTTCTGAATTACTCATGGATTGCACACTTTTCTAAGTAGTAACACAGCATTTTATTTTTAGAACCTGTAATTTCAGTTTACTATTACAGTGCTTTTAACTGTTCAAGGGAACTTTCACCAGTTTTTTTTTATACCTTTTGCCACCTGGGTAAATATAAATTGTAGTGGTCTGAAGTTCAAAGTTTAATATGATTCTTTTAATGTATTTCAAGCAAATCTAACAAGTTGCAAGATGTTTTGAGACAGGTGACAAAAACAAACCCTCAGCAAATGCTTTTCTCAACAATTCACTACTTACTTTAGTAATGATTTGACCCGTCTTGATGATAGCGTCACATAGTAATTGATTTTTCCACATTGCAGACAGCTGACAAAGCAGAGAGCTGGAATGGATCTGGTTCATGTAAACCTTCTGGTAATTCATCTTGATTTCTTTTCTCTAATGTTGATAATCTGAAATATATAGAAAAATTGTATGATCAAATTCTAAAATCTAAAAAAAAATTATTTATGCCCCCACCCTTTAATTAATGCAACAATTAATAGAATTGCAAGACTGCCAGACGTGTTCAACAAAAAAGACTACCATTGCCGTTTTATTCCATATTAAAACTGATTTTTTTTTTTGTATAGACTGAATAGCTTATTATGTGCAACATCTGGTTGAACAGGTTTATTTTGACAACATCATGACGTGGATAAATGTTAATCCAAGCAACTAACATTAACAACATTAAATTTAAAACCCAAGTTCTCAACAACAATACTTCTGAAATTTTTAAAATCTAGTAACTTAAAAAAAAAATTTCCTCCAATAACATGAACAATTACTGATTCCATAGCTCATAGTAATGTATAACCTAGCTCTATATTCTCCATCAGTGTTAGAGGTTAAACATGACGAGAAACTTTTGATAGGTGCCAATGCAATCAGGTAAACTAGTAGACCTATATTTGGCCAAGCGTGACCTTAATCAAAAGAAACATTTTAAACACGTGATCTTTGTAAAATTCGTTATGCATGTTTTCAAACAAAATACAAGAAATTCGTACAACATTATCCTTGATATGGTAATCTTTCATTCCAATACTTTGCAATATAAAACAAACTTAATACACATGAAATCATATTGCTTACCAACGTTTTCGATATATTGGCTAGGTAGTCGCAGTCATATGCTTTTAAATTACTCAATACATTGTACAAAATCCCAATACGATTCATAAAGCATTATATATATTCCAAGATGTCGTGTTTCAAGAAGGAAATAAAATCTAGTCCGAAACGCATGCACTGCAACTTGTGAACCGATGCTCATGGCCGCGTGGTCAATAATAACCGCGCGCCGGCAAGGTGCTCGTTTGCCTACCATTTACAGGTCGCGTGACGTTTTTCCAAACGTAAACAATAAATACTGACGATTACGTCTGCAAAGTGGATTGCATGGCAAAAAAATTCTTCATTTGAATTTTTATTCAAAAACCAAATCAAGTCGACATAATTACTTAGGCGAAGAAACATTACGACCAGGGCATTTTACCTGTTCAGCGTCACGTCGCCGTCGACGGCCGACTTCGCCTCAAATAAATTTAGTATTTTCAAGCAGTTTATGGAAACAATCAAGCTAATATCAATTTAACCAAATTCAAAAATGTGTTATAATAACCTTGAAGTTTCGGTAAATGCTGTTTCATGCAGAATTTCTGTGGATAACGCTCAATCTTCCTGCTTCTGGTCACTTTCGTTCATTGTTCCCCGGCCATGGACTCGTTTATTGCGCAGAGTTGTTGCGCAGAACTTGATTGCAAATCACATCAGAGGCACTTCTAGGGAGAAAAGTAAGACTGCTTATATATTTTCGACAAGATAGATATTAACATCAACAATTTAAAATTTGTGCAGATTGAAATTCAAAGAAACTAGAAATCAATGAAAATATATTATGTACCACCAAACTAGTCGTATCATTTGTCTAAGATCACCCTCATTTAAAAAGCATTTATTTACTTTGTTAAACTTACTCCACGGACAGTTTATATGTATGTTTACACCAAAGAAAAATATCTTTATTAGATATGTATCGATCTTAATTATAAACCCACATATATTACCACTTATTGGCTCAGTTATAAGTTGCAATTTTAATCAGACAATTGATTAATGGTATTTCAGTTTATGTGAATAGAAGATTTCAAGTCGATGAAAAATTACACATACCATAATACTTTGCCAAATCTACTTACATTAGCGACCAATATCTAATATCATGTTCTCTGCTAACATCTACGAAAAATAACTGCTCTTTTATTGACTACTAGCATTTTGAAATATGAACGGCAAAAAAGTTTTAATGATAATCTGTACAAAGCTGATAAAGTTTCAAACATATCTATTTCGCTGTCTAATGCGAGAGATCTTAGAACACACAAAAGTTACAATAATCCAAATGGTAGACGTAAAAATGCATAGAATTTTACACGGACTTCGATGCGTGCCGTGGTAATAATTATAATGAAGTAGTGAGTACACGTTCACATCTAAGTTTGATTCAAATTCATTATCTCGTATAGTACACTGCTAATGTTTCAGACTTACTTAGATATCAATCGCTTTTTTTCCTAAATCTAAACATGCATATTTATCTGATCTAATGAAGTCCTTGATGAAATAGTACTACAAACACATTTAAATTCGTAAATGAACTCTTAATTTCAATGTTACCCTTTGAAGGGCCCCACATCATATTAATTGAAAAGTTATTGCGCATAGTCTATGCGCAGTACCACGAGCCCTTGGCGTACCAAGCAAATTCGGACCACTGAACAATGGCAGAGATCGGTAAACTTTAGAAAAATAAGGCCCGCGTTCATTAACGGCAAGCAAGCGAAAGGACCAGGCTATCAACGATCTGTCTTAACATTGTAAGTTGACTTTGTCTCGTTTCAGAAAGACATATGATGAAAAATAATAATTGCAGTAGAGCAGAAGTTACCGAAACGCATAGCATTTTGCACTGGGCACAATTCTGATATTACCGCCATATTTGCAGCATCGTTGCCACAAATTATGCCCGACTTTATTTCTATTTGTCGTACTCATGCCTACTCAATTGATATGTGGCATTTTTGCTCTATTTAATTTATAAGATGATTGAAAAGGTGCTTTCTGATGATGTAAATCGACCGATATATGAAACTAGTGACATGAGGGCATGTAACTGTAAACAAGCACCTGCGCATCCGCCCTCCTAAGCCGGGTGCGTGTGTGTGTATTTGTACCTCGTGTATTGTACACAGGTCGTCTTTATGTATAGAGGGCCATGTACTGTTTACGTATATCTTCTTTAACACGCTTGCATGTAATTTTTTGAAACTGAGAACAGTTTTCGTTCCGTAGTAAAAAGACAATGAAACTGAAGAGCTCTGTTAACATGTTGTTACAATAATAGCCTATGAAAATAAAAAAAAATATAGTATTATAAACTTCTTCAATAATGTATTTCAATTATATATGTCAATCCTACTATTACTCAATACGAGAGTTAACAGTTTAACATAAACCTTTGTTATATATCCCTTTGATTTTATTCCCACACCATGTTAAGTGACAGATTAGTGAGTTATTGTGTCTTTAACACAAAGTATGCATACAAGACACTTAATTAGCTGAACAGGTTAAGTTAAAAATAAAAAAGAAATGTTAGGACTTCCTGACTTTGATTTTTGTTCAATGTAAGATTATTTGTTTATTGATGTTAGTTTATGATTTACTGAGAAAATACCCTCAGCCAGGGACGTATAATATGTCCCTGCCTCAGCCAATAAAAATGTTGGGTGACAATATCCTATAGGGATATCTTGTATAAATAGAACCAATAAAGATCCTACAATGTTGGGTGACAATATCCTATAGGGATATCTTGTATAGATAGAACCAATAAAGATCCTACAATGTTGGGTGACAATATCCTATAGGGATATCTTGTATAGATAGAACCAATAAAGATCCTACAATGTTGGGTGACAATATCCTATAGGGATATCTTGTATAGATAGAACCAATAAAGATCCTACAATGTTGGGTGACAATATCCTATAGGGATATCTTGTATAGATAGAACCAATAAAGATCCTACAATGTTGGGTGACAATATCCTATAGGGATATCTTGTATAGATAGAACCAATAAAGATCCTACAATGTTGGGTGACAATATCCTATAGGGATATCTTGTATAGATAGAACCAATAAAGATCCTACAATGTTGGGTGACAATATCCTATAGGGATATCTTGTATAGATAGAACCAATAAAGATCCTACAATGTTGGGTGACAATATCCTATAGGGATATCTTGTATAGATAGAACCAATAAAGATCCTACAATGTTGGGTGACAATATCCTATAGGGATATCTTGTATAGATAGAACCAATAAAGATCCTACAATGTTGGGTGACAATATCCTATAGGGATATCTTGTATAGATAGAACCAATAAAGATCCTACAATGTTGGGTGACAATATCCCACTGGAATGTCTTCACTCTTGTATATTTTGTAGATGTGTTTATTCCTTTTTTTTTTTTTTGTTTTAATGCAATTACATGTTCTTTGGAAATTATCGTCGCCATTATCATTTGGGGACAGACGTGTAAATTAATAAACTTCTGATCATGAATGAATCATCTTTTTTGCAGGATTGGCCATATATAGTATTTCACACAAGCCAACAAGATGTCCAGTATGAATTACCAGAAAGTTTACATGAACCAGATCCACTCCAGCTCATTGTTGTGTCAGCTTTCTCACATGTGGAAGAGTCAAATGCTGTGTGATGCCATTATCAAAACCGGTCAAATTATCACTAAAGTAAGAAATTTCTATTTATTGAAAGTCTGTTGTCAGTTTGTGGGATTTGATTGAATTTCATTTTCTTTCACAAAACTTGATATAACCTGTAATCTAGGCTATTTTAAGCTGCCAGTAGATAATGCTTCATTTTGAAATTGACCAAAAATTGATCATTAAACATCGCTCACAGAACTTTCATGGTTGTCTCAATTTCAAAAAAGGTAATTTGAGTTTCAAATAAAAAGTTTTTGTGCTTTAAAAATCAAACTTTGAATAATAATTTTGCTTTTCTTAGGCCCACCGAGTTGTGCTGGTGGCAGCTTGTCCCATGCTTCAGTCCATGGAAAATGCATCGGCAGGTTCACATCTAGAAGTTCGTCTAGCAGCCGATATCAAACAAGAATCCGTCAACACATTCCTACAGTATCTATATGAAGGCTTCATGATGTTAACAGAAGACAATGTTCGTGATGTTGAGAAAGTAGCCAGACTTTTACAGGTAGACAGTGTTATTAAATGTTGTGCTGACTTTTACAAATGCATGAATGCCAAAACGGGTGCACCATTCCCAGGATCAGCATATAAATATTCCTTTTCTGGACATGATCTTGCTGAATTTCGTCATGTACGTGCTACTGGCTTGCAAAAAACTGCATCTGAAAGAATAATTAAACGTGTTTCTGATTTCCCTCGGCCTGGAAGTCCAGGAAATAAGAGACCAAGGTTACATAGAGGGGCAAGTCCCTCAGATGTTACTGTGATAGGGTCAGACAAAGCTGATGATACAGCAAGTATGTCCCATAGTTACATGACTGGAGCTCCAGATCCCTGGGATAGAGTCCCCAAACTGGGGTCAGGCATGGGTCGTCAAGGTGCTACTGGAAAGAATTCCCAGCCCGGTGTGATAGAAATTGTGGAAGAAAGTATTGAACTTGTACAGACAGAGCCTCCAGAAAAAGATTCTGGACAACCATCATCATCTCGTTCATCACAAAAATCAGCAGCAGTGTCCATAGCAGTAACTAGTCAATTTAACACAGAACCAGACATCAGTGTTGTCAATGTGTTTGGTGCTCCTGAAACACAGTCAGCATCTGCTGGCACTGCTTCTGCCAATACTATCACTTCATCTAGTTCATCCCGTGGGTCCATCACCGTCAGCCCGTTAACAATATTTCAGGACCCCCATCCTCCATCATCGTCTGCTCCTGAACCGCCCTCCTCATCTGCTGTAGATTCCTCATCAGGTCAAGATCAACAACAAAGATTACCAGAGATGCAGTTTTCAGGTTTCTCACAAAGACAAGATATGGACAGTGTTTATAGTGCAGGAAAACAGCAAAAGAATACAGATAGTCAGTTAACTAGTACACCTCAGCAGAGACCGTTTCCAGTGTCTGTGTCGCCCATCAACCAACCAAAACCTTTTGCAGCAGGAAGTGCAATGCAAGCAGGAATTTCCTCACCCTCATCTATGTCCCTACCACTTGGTTCACCATCTAGCAGTAAATCAGTCCAAAAGCCGAGGAGTGCACCAGCCTCACCCGCTGAACGGGCAAGGGACAACAGGTAAGAACAAAAAGTTTGGCCAAGATTGAAATCTCCGAATTTTAAAAAAAAAAAAATTTGAGCATATAACTATAGTTCCATGTAGTGAAATTGATCATGACATGCAATTCAACTAACATTTATTTAAAGAAATGTTATCTAAAGATGTACTTATATGCTATATTTTAAGTGAAGTTTAATGAATTTGATATATTTCCATTGACAGGAGGGCGTCAGAAGCAACTGGTATGCAGAGTACAGCTGACATGACACCTGACTTGAGTATAGTGAAAATAGAAGCCAGCAATCATGAAACAGGAGGACTCGATATGCATGTAGATATGCCAGAGGAGGGGGTGATGCGTATTCACCAAGGCAGGTTACCAGAGGAACAAGAAGACACAAGTGACAAAGAAATAGAAGACTGGGCGCGTGAGGAAATGTCAAATGAAGGAAGCAATGTTAGCGGTGATCAGAATAATTCGTGGTACATGGGAACATTCAAAGGTAGGTGTCATTCCTTTAACCTTTCATGTTTTGATTGGAGCTGTTCTATGTAATCAAACAAGTACTGTAGTTAGTCAGGGAATTAATAGTATCTTCTTTAAAAATGGGAGGGGGGAGGACTTAATCCAATAAACTGGTGTCACATGATCTTTTAATGAAAAATGTTTATATCTTTGTAAGAGAATATCATTTCTTGATGGTGATATCATTTCACAACATGGTTATGAATTCACTTTCTTGGTATTTGTTGAATTATCACATAGAACAGCTCCAGAGGAACTGTTCAAACAATCTGTCATGTTTAGACCTGCAATCACTTTATTTTTAACAAGTGCTTGATTGTCATATATCAGAAGTTTGAGGTCTGATTGATAATTCATTGAGGTCAGGAGTCATATTGCTTATTGTCCAGGTCACAAGATCTGATCAGTAGTAAGTTGAGGTCAAGGTCAGATACCTGCTGTTCAGGTAGCAAAATCTTCTCAAAAGTACTGGAGGTTGAGGTCAGGGCCAAATATATATCATCCAGATAGCAGGGTGTAACCAATATAAGGTTAAAGTCAAATATTGGTTATCCATGTAGTAATGTTTGAATTCATCATAAAAATATTACTAGCGGGTCAAGCATCGATAGTCAAGGTAGAATTGTCTGAGCAAAGTAAGTTGATATCCAAGTGATACTTTATTGTCCAGCTAACAACAATGTAGAAGAAAGAAAGGTTGTGTTAATGTTGTGGATCTGTAGTCTTAAGTTGAAGGTCAAGTGTCTGTAGTCCAGGCAATATGTATGCCAAGGATGACATGAGGTGAAAAGGTTATTTCGCTTTAATCAAGGTACTTGAGCATCTGTGTTCTAGAAAATAACGCATGACATAAGTTGAGGTCAAATATGTGTTTTATTGATAGAAAGTAATGATCAGGGGTCATCCCGGTATATGTAATCAGGTTTGACTAATAATATGTACAGGTCAAGGGTCAAGAATAGTCCAGATAAACATAATTAGGTCTGACTTATAGAAAGTAGAAGTCATTGGTCTTCCATGTATATGTAATCAGGTTTGATTGAAAGCAAGTAGAGGTCAAAGGTCACACAGGTACATGTAATTAGGTTTGATTGATAGCAAGTAGAGGTCAAGGGTCCAGAATAGTTTAGGTTTATGTAACCAGGTCCTGTAATAGAAGTTTTACTTTATGTAACCCCAGAAAGTACCTGGTATACCTTAGGACTGTTATGACACTTAATACAACCTTGAGGCCATTAAACTTGATGTTGTTTAGCTGTGAAAGTGTTGAGGTTGTTTAGCTGGGGAAGTGTTGAGGTTGTTTAGCTGGGGAAGTGTTGAGGTTGTTTACGAATGTCTTAATAGCTGTAGGACAGTAGGGATGATGAGACATGACTACAGGTTGTTTAAGCACTCCTTTATCTGTGTCATTTCTTGTCTGGTTATTTGCTTCAAGGTAATTTTCATTTTGACATCAAAATGTGATAAAAGCCAAAAATTAAACCTTTTTTAAAATTAATATATTTCACAATTAAATGGTAAGATTTTTAAGACCTACTGAATACATTAGATTATTATATTTCAAGAATGATCCAAACATGAAAAGATGCCAGTACTGTCGCCGTTTTGGAAGTTTTAACCAGACTTGCAATGATTTTTACAATACTATGTAGTATTAATCATTTACTACTACATCAGTATAAGAAATGCTTTGTTCAGTAAAAAATCCAAGGAAGTTGCTGTTTCATTTAAACTCCCTGGATTGATATTGAACCAGCATGCTTGGCTTTCACTGCACTTTTAACAAAGTTTGAAAATTAAGACCTTGGATCAGATAGAAGAAAATTTCCATGAATGGAGTTAGTTTAAAATTTGATTCTTGTTTTAAATTTATCTGACAAGAATTTGATATGTATTTTAAATGTATCTGACAAGAAATGAAACCAAACTGATATTGATGTTTGCTAACCGACCAAAACATGCTTGTCAAACCCAGAATCTGCTGGTGTAGTTTAATTTCATTTCCTGTAACTTCTTTGTATAAGCAGGTGCTCCCTATAGCTATAACTGATGAATTATACAAGAATAAGGATAAGCTGTATGTACTGTACAGGTCTAATATATGTATATTCATTTCTTTGTTAAGAATGCAGAGTCATGATGAATATTGTTTTTACAATGTTGGAATATTTTATTTGTTGAAATTCCAACTTTATGTCTCATGGACTTGTCAAGAAAGAGCAATTTTCATTGATAAAAATGAATCCCATTTGTTTGGATGATTATTGCTCTGAAGAAGGATGATCTGCATATGACATCAAAGTTGGGATTTAAAGCCTAAAAGTACATATACAGGTAGCAGGACTGATCAGTCTAACAGTATTTTAATGATACATCTTGAAAGTTATCTGTGTATGTACTTAAACCTGGCAAAAATTAATATGTCACAAGTCCCATCAATACGTGAAAATGTTCCAGTAAAGATATTTACTCTTCAAATACTTTCTACAGCAATGCAAGTCTGTATTGCAAAATAGTTTTTCTTTACTGAACTGAAGTCAGTAACATAAGGAAATGCTAAATTACCTTTCAGGCCTTGTCTGATAAATATAGCAAATCACTTATTGATGGAACTTTAAAGACCTGTGATATTAGTGTTATAGCGTGTTACATTGTTTACAGACCTTTATTGTTCTTTCTAAATTTGGATGCACATGTGAATATATTTGATAATCGCCAGTTTAAATGGGGTAGTCCTTCCCCACACAGTAAATATTTAAAAAGTACATATCAAGTAGTGAAAGTGCAATATGAACAAATTTTCATTCTCTTAAACCATTAAATTTTCTGATAGAAAATGCATCCAGCAGTAGTATAATTGAGTGTTTGGTCACAGAAGGTCTGTAAATATATGTACTCGCCTTAACCAAACAATCAATTTTATTACTTGTGCCTTATGTCCAGTTTCCTGACGTCCCTTTGCACACATACAGTCACATATACAACAATTACAAGTTAGCTTTGGAGGCTCTTCCTATTAATATGTTAAGCATCATCAGATTTGATAAAATCATAATCGAAAAATTTGAAAGTTGAAAAAAAAAGAAACAAAAAAAAAGTGACTTAAAATTTAGCAATATAGAAGTAAGCAGTTCATGTATAAAGATATGTTTGGGGTGAGCCTCCTTTATTTACAGCTATAAATACAAAACTGCATGTTTGCTGGCTGGATCAGAAGGAGGACCTGCAAAAAAAGTTCAATCTGTTGCCGAGTCCAATAAAATTTTGTAGGAACTACAGATTTAGAAATTTCAGGAGGAAAGGAAGAGTGAAAAAGAGAGAAATTAAAACAAGCATTTTTTTATGATTTTTGATTGATGGATATAAACTTCAGATTGAACTTGGCACAGGTAAGTGATCTCACACGAACATATACACACAGTAACTGGGGAAACCTTGTGGTGGTCTGTCGTATGTTTAAAATAAAATATAACATACAGGCAATGCACCTGCATAATATATCTCAGAAATCTATCCAAATTGTAAAAAAGATCTATTGGCATTCCAATGCAAGTTTTCTCCAGTGTATGCATTCACCCCTCCCTCCCCACTCCCTGCGCCGACCTGGTTTATACACATTATGGAGCTGATCCTCTGAAGCTTGTCTTCAGTGTGTCATATTGGCCTACGAAATGTATATGCTTAATTACTACAAGGAAAGATAACTATTGATGAGGACCATTGATGTTTAAATGAATACAGATGATGATAGAGAATGTTTGCCATAAGATATTAAAGGGAAAAAACCCTTGATGAATCACAGCTTAATAAACTTAAATTACCTACACTGATTTACTGATGACCTTGGAAAATGACCTTCATGAATGCACCATTGTATGACCTATAAAGGATGAAAAGTGTGTTTGGGGTAGGGGATGGAAATATAACTGATTTACAATACTTGTAGTATATTCTATGTTGAGAGATAAAACTACAGGAAAGTTGCACTATTGATTCTACCTCATTAGCAAAGAGAAGACCATCATATCTGTTCTACTGGATGGTGCTGAGTATGTTACAACTGGTTTCCTTGAGGAATTTGGTGTTTGGACAAGTTTCTGGTTTGGAAATAGACCTGAATTGAGGGATACTTTGGATTGGGGGAGGGGAGAAATAATATTACTGAAATGTAGTTAGGGCCATATACAATCCATTCTGTCAGTGTTAATACAGGTATTAAACAGTCATGATGATATTAGTGGTCAGTTAATGATACCATGAAAGGAGTGATGAAATCGTGTAGTTTATGGAATGGGTAAATAGCTTAGAATTCCTTTAGTAGCGGATATATATACCTCTGTGTTATGTCCATTTTCAGGCAGAAGACCTGATAAATGGAGAACAGGAGGTCATGTACTTACTGGGGAATCAAAGCACTTGTCTGCCCCTTCTCAGCTATGGTTACAAAGTCCGACCCTGGCTCTAGATACCTCTTCCAGTGTGTCTTTAGATAATAAAACATCAATGATCCTGACAGAGCATTCTTCTTTAGTTCAACAAATACTACTCAATACGCCTAAAGGAAAGAGGCACAATATGTGGCCTTCAGTTATTGTCTCTGATAAAGGTATAGATGGAAAGTCTGAAGGACCAGAGACATGTTATATTAAACTAGATCCAGAGGTCCAGGAGGCTGTATATGAAATATTTGGTTCTTCCTACTCTAGACAAAACTTTGCCTGGAGGCTGGTACGTTCTATGTTTGAAGACTCCGAATTAAAGGACCACAATTGTTATGGACGGAAGGGCAAACCTTCACTGGATGTTGAGAAGCTGAGCAAGGTGAAGGAGCTTGTATTCTCTTATTATCCTTTGGATGATTGTGTCCTCCAACAGCGTGCATGGAAGGCATGCACTGTTGCCATAGACAAGGGTATTAGAAACACTTTCTGTGATTATCACCCTCGGCAACAGTCCAGCGATTAAGATTATTAACTT